AATATTCATTGAAGAACTGATGCTGAAGCTCCAATACTTTGGCCACCTGATTTGAAGAGCCGACTCACTAGAAAAGACTCTGACGCTGGGAAAGATTGAAGTCTGGAAGCAGAAGGGGATGACAGAGGACAAGATGGTTGGATGGCATCACCAACTCAATGGACATGAGTTTGAGTAAGCTCCGGGAGATAGTGAAGGACAAGGAAGCCTGGTGTGCTGCAGTCCATAGGGTTGCAATGAGTCGGACACAACTGAGCAACTGAAGAATAACAACAACTACATCCCCTGTTAATGAAAACAGACATAAAACAATTAAAAACTCACCTTAAGAAACTTTAAAAGCATAGTGAAATAAACCTAAAGAAGCAAAGAAGAGTGAATCAGTAAAGATAAAAAACAAATTTAAAAACAGTAGAAGGGATAAATTCAAATGCTAATTTCCTTGAAAAGAGCAGCAAAATAGATAAACTTGTTTACAGCCTGATTAAGAGCAAGAAAAATTAAGAATTGGAATGAGAAATAAAACATAACAACAGAATCAGAAGAGATGAAAATAATTAGAGACCATTTCACTCAGCTTTAGGGTAGGATATTGAAAAATCTAGATGAAATGATCTTTTAGCAAAATATAAATTACCAAAATTGTGTGCACCAGCCAGATGTGTATAAAACAACCCGATTCTGGGGGTACAAGATCTCAGGAAGATGCTAGAGAGCAATTATTTAGATATAATGTGAAGTACCATTCTCTGGCAAACATTTCAAATGGGAATCACTAAAATACTTAACTAGGGAGAATTCTCTGGTGGTCCAACAGTTAGGACTCTGGTGCTTTCACGGCCTGAACCGAATGCCATCCCTGGTGGGGGAACTAAGATTCCACAAGCTCAGTGAGGTGTGGCCAAACCTGCCACCCTCCCCTCCCCGCAAAACACTTAACTAGAAACCAGTCACCAATTCAAAACAGGTACTTTGACCAAGCAAAATATAATTTAACCTGAATTTTTCCTATACTGACTAGTTTATGGCTATATCTAGAGTAGAAAGAAAAGAAAGGAAATTACACATACTATGCTCTTGTGATGACTATAGTTTTCAACAACCAACACAAAACTAGAAAATTATAAACATGCACGTTCAAACATTTATTGAAAAAAATTATATATGTAAATCTAGGTCTGGGCTACAGGTGAGGGGATACAAAAACATAGCTCCCTGCTTTCAAAAAGCTAAATGTGTAGGAAATGTAAAGAAAACAAGAGAATATACATAAACGATTTACAGTGTAATAATGGCTTCTTGTAAGCTCTGAGGCCGGAGAAACAAAGGACTTTGGTTTGTTCATTCCAACAAGCCAGGCTTCAGTGCTTGAATTTTTCTTACAATGAACAATGTGGGGAAAAAAGTGCCAAGGCATTTTTCTTTAAAGAATTGAGTGTGTGTTCATCAGAACCTGTCAGACATGTCCATGTTTAAAGAAAAAAGTTATTTTAAGTGATAGGGACTCTGAAAGCTGCAGGGGATCAAGACAACCTGAGATAAGAGTTAGGACAACGAATTAGCTGTTTAGGGACAGTAATTAGACCAGGCCTCAAACTAGAAGCTTTCATGAAGTGAGACAAGTCAGTATGAGAGAGCATATTAAATGCCAAGCCAAGAACTTTCACTTTAGTAAAACAGGCAGCCACTGGCTCCTTTTTGAATGTGAGTTTGCATTTGTTTGTGTGTGAGATGATAAAAGCAGTATTTGAAGAAAATCAAATGGTGGTGTACATCATGGATTAAAAAGGTGAACAGTTCCATGACAACTAGAACAGTAATGGAAGACCAAGGCTCAGAGAAGCCTTGTTCACTTTCACCCTCAGGATCTCAAGGTGCTGCCAGATTTGATCCAGAGATTCTTTATGCTAAAAGGAAAGAAAGCACATTGTGGGTGGATGGGTGGGTGGGTACAGTCTCCTTGATCACACATCCAAAAAATGCATGGATACCCTTCAGAGGTAATGAGGAGAAATCATTATACCGAAGATTCTAATAAAACTCCAGAGACAGACAAACCAGTCCTTCCAAATTTGTCCCCAGTTGTTTAAGGTCTTCTTCACAATAGGCTTAACTCATGCACATGGCTGACCAGAATTTTAGGTCTTCTAATCTTCTCAACTTCAGACATAGGAAGAAAGTTCTTCCAAATCTTTATTTCATCAGAGATTCAGAAACTGAAATGAGAAATGATTTGTACTGTAGCTGCAGCCAAGAGACATCAACATATTTACCAGCTCTATTTTCAACATTCTCAACTGCTACATTCAAACCCATCCTGCTTCAGTGAGGAAATGAGTTGAAGAAAAGAAGCCAAATAAGGAGTAGATTTAATGACCAATGTCACTAGTGTGTTTGGTAGATTTGATAGTGTGTTGGGAGAGGGACCTCAATGGCATGAGGAAGAGAGTTTTTGGCTGCACCATGTGGCTTGTGGGGATCAGGGATCGAACCCGAGCCCAAGGCAGTGAAAGAACCGAGTCTTAACCACTGGACTTCCAGGGGATTCCCCAGCAGCCAGCTTTCAGGGATGGTGTGGATGGGCTTCTCCACTTTAAGACATCCCACTACTGTTTAGGATGCCTTTGTGGAGGAGCCCTATGGCCCCAGTGCTTTGAACTTTAAGGGGTCATCTTCTTTATACCAGCCACAACACAGCAGGGTATTCTTACACATCTTTTATTTTGCTTGTAAATACTTCATCTTCTGTTTAGAAATGGTTAAAGCTCTAGATGCCCTTCTGTGTGTCAACAGTAGATTTCAGTTTTCTCATTTAAAGCTCACAATTACACCAGGAGGTAGATTATTTTAACACCATTTTATTAGTGAGGAAAATAAGGATCAGAAGGGTTACATAATTTGTTCCAGGTCCTGAGGCCAACATGTCCTACTGGGATTCAAACCCACATCTGCGTCCCCTCCATTACACCACACTGCTTCTCCTGAAATAGTTCATCAAACTAGTTTTCTATCAGACTCTGCGTTCCCATTTGGGATGCACTGCCACTACCCATATCACACTGAAATGCTTCCTTAAATGGCCCCTGGTGACTGGTGTTCTAAATATCCAAGGGCAGGGCTTCTCAACCAGGGCGCTGTTGACACTTAGGGTCAGATAATTCTTTTTTGGAGGTAGAGCGAGCTGTGTATTGTAAGATATTTAGCAGCATTACTGCTTTTTAGATGCCAATATTTCCTTCCCAGTTGTGACAACCAAAATGTCTCTGGGACATTGCCTAATGCCCTCTGGGAAGCAAAAATCACCCTGGTTGAGAACCACTGATCCCCTCTGTGTGTCTCACAAGCTGTTCCCACTGAGGAAAAATATAGGTTGAAATTCTCACCTTACATTGTCCCATTCGGTAACTTTCTTGTCTGCTGATATGGGTAAGTTCATATACAATCTACCAGTAGTTCATGGTACAAGAAATATTTGACAATTGTGCTTGACTGTGCAGATAGGCAGGACCTAATTACCAATATCAGTTTTCAGATTAAAGATGACTGATCTCTTTCAGAGTTCTGCTTAGAGTCTCCAATTCTCAAATAATTACAAAGCTCTGGTTCAAGACAAAACCACTCTCCTCTAATCACTTCACCCTTGAAATTTGTTGCTTTAATTCCTACCAACTCAGGTCACCTAAATGCCCTGCCCTGGCACTCAGTCTAGTCCTATTTCCGATACCCACTGTTCTTTCCTTTGCTCTTTCATTTCCTGATACTACTAGTCATTATCATTCTTTCTCTGGGGAACACTTCACTTGGCTCTTGTATCCTGGCCTTCAGCTTTCCTGTTGTCAAGTCATTTCTATTAGTTTTTGTTTCCTCTCAATTAATGGTTCATTCTAATTAGTATTATCACATATGCATAAGCATATTTTATAAGGAGATAAAAGGGGAATATGTATAAAATATACATCTAACGGAAGAACTCATCCCAGAGAGATTTAATTACTCTAAAATACTTAAAGTAGATTTATACTTGTCACTAGATTATGTAGTCAAGATTGAAATGGATCCTTCCATGAAGAAATTAGTTCGGGGGTTGTTGGCAAAGTGATTTCTAATGATGTTAACAACAGTGGAAGTCCCCTGAAACATTCTCAAGTAATTGTATCCTCTGGATTGTATGCCAGTTTCAGATCTGAAGCAGAGAAAAGGTGATTATGTCCAAGAGCTTGCCCACATTACTCTTACATGTTTTCCATCCATTAGGGCTCTTCGAATGTTTTCCTACTTTCAAATGGTTTTCAGCAATAAAAACCCTTTACTGTGCAATTAGACGTGGTCTCCATCAAGCTTTTCCTACATTCATTAGGTTTCTGTTTCCTATTAGAGTAAGTCATATTTAAGGACACTCTTGTGTTCCCCAAACTCATTTCCAGTGTGAAGTTTCTGATGATCAAGAAAAGCTGTGTGCCTGCTGAAGGCCTTCCCATAGTGGCTACATTCAAAGGCTTTCTCTCCAGTGTGAATTCTTTGGTGACCAACAAGGTGTGAGTTCTGGCAGAAGGCCTTCTCACACTCAGGGCATTCATAAGGTTTCTTGCCAGTGTGAACACGGTGGTGTTTAATGAGATCTGAGTTGTCCCTAAAAGATTTCCCACATTTATTGCACACATAAGGTTTTTCTACACTATGAATTCTGCGATGTTTCATAAGGTCTGAGCTCTGATTGGAAGTTTTCCCACATTCCTTACATTCATAGGGTTTCTCTCCTGAGTGAGTTACCTGATGTCAGGTGAGGTCTGAGCTGCCTCGAAAAGTTCTACCACACTGACTGCACTGATAAGCTTTCTCTTCTTGGTGAATTCTCTGCTCTTCTCTAAGTAATTTTTCCTTGCTGAATGTTTTCCCAACTTCCTTAAGTTTCTCTCCAGTATGAAGTCTCTGATGCTTGAGAAAAGCTGTGCACCAGATGAAGGCTTTTCTGCATTCCTTACATTCATAAGGTTTCTCACCACTGTGGATTCTGTGATGCTGGATGAGGAGCAAATGTTGCCGGAAGGCTTTCCCACATTCATTGCACTGATAGGGTTTCTCTCCAGTGTGAATTTTCTGATGTGTCATGAGGTGTGACCTCTGGCTAAAGGCTTTCCCACATTCACTGCATTCATAGGTTTTCTCTCCAGTGTGAGTTATCCAATGCCGAATTAGATCTGAACTTCCCCGGAAAGATTTTCCACACTTAGTACATTCATAAGATTTTTCTTCCCTGTGCATTCTCTGTTGTTGGATAAGATCCAAGTTAGAAGTACAGGCTTTTTCACATTCAAGTTCCTTTCCAGTGTGTAGCCTCTGATGTTTCAGAAAGGCCGTGTGTCCACTGAAGGATTTCCCACAATTGCAACATTCATAGAGTCTCTCCCCATTGTGGAGTCTCTGGTGTTCAGTGAGGTGGGAACGCTGCCTAAAGGTCTTTTCACAGTTGCTGCACTTGAAGGGTTTCTCTACAGTATGAATTCTCTGATGTGCGACAAGGTGTGAGCTTTGACTGAAAGTCTGTCCACATTCATAACATTCATATGGTTTCTCTCCAGTGTGAGTTCTGTGATGAATAATAAGATCTGAGCTTTGATTGAAGGCCTTCCCACATTCATTGCATACATATGGCTTTTCTCCAGTGTGAATTTTCTGGTGCAGGACAAGGTTTGATCTCCCCTTGAAGGCCTTCCCACACTCTTTACATTCATAGGGATTCTCACCATTATGAATTCTCTTATGTCGAACCAGGTTGGAGCTCTGATTGAAGTCTCTTCCACATTCATGACATATATAAGGTTTCTTTCCTGTATGAATTCTCTGATGTATAATAAGATTTGAACTTTGATTAAAGTCTTTTCCACATTCACTACATACATATGGTTTCTTTCCTGTATGAATTCTCTGATGTATAATCAGGTTTGAGCTTCGATTGAAAGTTTTTCCACATTACTTACATTCATAGGTTTTCTTTACATTATCAATTTTCTGATGTTCAGTTATTTCTGACTTCTGTTTGAAGCTCTGACCACAGTTTTCATATCTGTGGGATCTTTCTTCTGCAGAAAGGAATTTTTCTCTTCCCTTACATCCATGGCCTTTCTCTCCTGCAATGGTTTTTTTGGGGATCACATTCACTTCCCTGATACCTCTCTCTTGGGAAGAGGGATGTCTCACTGCATCATCTAAGGAGCTTACCCAATACCTCAATAACCTGTCCTCAGGATCATTGATTTCAAATAACCTACATTCCTGGGAGATTTGCCTTTGGAGTCTTTCTGATACAGTCCTTGCTGAATTTTTTTCTTCTGAAATTACCATCTTTGACTTCCAATCTTTTCTCTTACTCCTGGTCTCAGAGTCTGAAATGATAAGCAGACCATTCTATAATTCCTAAAACACAAATTTCACCTCTTTCCTACACCAGAAAGTCTTAGAGGGAGGTAGAGGGAAGAACAAGGAACTTAGAAGAAGACTCTTCCCTGCTGGCACTGAGATTTAGACATTTTTCAGAGGGATTGTGGCTATCACAGGAATACACACTCTGTTGATGGAGAAGAAACCTACTGGGGTGCTGGCTGGAGCTGGTGTGTAGGAGTGGCCTGCAGGGTGGTGGAGGAATTCACTGGAGGAGGTGGGCAGTCTGGAGCTGGAAGTGGCCTGTTTGATGGGGTAGGAACCTGCTGGGCCCTGTGTCCAGGCCAGAATGGGTTCACAGGAAACAACCACTAGGGTGAGTGCCACTCACCCTAGCTGATCTGTTGGCAACCACACCAATAAATAAACAGCACACCAGCACCAGCAAGAGAAGTTCCTTCCTTTTCCTATGGCCTTGCATTTCCCTCCAGCAACCTCTGTTGACAAAATATAAGTCTTGTACCAGCTGGCAAAGGAGATGGTTCAGATCTAGTAACATAAGCAAAGCAAAGAAGAATAGATTTCGAATTGAGATATGATATATTAATAACTGGTACACTAACACTGCTATATTTAAAATGGATAACCAACAAAGACCTATTGTATAGCACATGGAACTCTGCTCAATGTTATGTGCCAGACTGGATTGGAGAGGGGTTTGGGGGAGAATGGATACATGCATATATATGGCTCACTCCCTTCACTGTTTACATGAAACTACCACAACATTGTTAATTGGCTATACCCCAATATAAAATAAAAAGTTTAAAGTTACAAAAAAAAAACAACAACTGGGTAGTGGGAGTGAAAGAGTGGGGGTGAGGGGGAGGAGCTGGTGAATTCCACTTCAGACATGTCATATTTGACTTACCTGTGAGGCATCCAGGAGGAAACTTCTGAGAAGCCAGTGGATCAGCAGGTCAGGAACCCAGGAGGAAAATCTAGAATGGACATACAGATTTTGGAATCATCAGTATATAAATAGTATCTAAAGCAGAAAAGTGACCCTGGTGATTACAAGTTAGAGGCAGCTTAGGGTTTTGAAAAGAACAGGGCTTAGAAGCCAGCAGAGCCAAGTTAGAGTCCCAGCTTCTTCATCTCCCCCAACCATCATTTCTGCAAATGTAAAAGAGAAATATCACTTAACTCCAAAGTGTTATTGTACACATTAAAAACAAACAAACAAAACCACCCTGGGAATTCCTTGGTGGTCCAGTGGTTAGGACTTGGCACTTTCACAGCTGTGGCCTGGTTGAGGAACCAAGATCCTGTAAGCTGCATGGCAAAGTAAAAACCAAAAAACCTACCCCAATGTACAGAAAGCCACACATCACTACAGTATAAGCCTCCCAAGAGTGTAAGCTCCATGGGGGTGGGGGTCTTTATTTTGTGCAGTGTTGGACCACTACCTGGACCATAGTGGGTGCTCAATTAAAAAATCATTGAATAAGTGAATAGTAGGTTATCTCTCTTCCCACTTCCCCTTGACTAAATAATTCCTGAAATTCTTGTCTCCATTGGCTTCCATAATGCACGATACTCCACCCACTCTACTTTTTTATTGTCTTTACCCTTTCAGCTTTTCCAGCCATTAAATGTTGGTGTTACTAAGGCTCAGCCCCTAGTCCTCTCCTTTTATATTCTGTATCTCAATGACCATATCAACTCTGGCTTCAGTGATCACCTTTGTCTAAAATGAATCATAAATCTAAAACTCCAACTCCTCACTTACACTGTAGCCTATATTCACAATTCACGTCCAGACCAGTGTCTTACTGCCAGTCAAGAAGAATCAAATGCATAAAAATGAACTCATCATTTTGCTGCTAAATGTATTCCCCCTTCTTACAGCTGTTTCTGCCCAAACAACCAGTTTTCATTGAATAAATATTTAATGTGCCTACAGTGAGCCTACAGTGTCCAGGTACTTTCTAGGCCCTGGGATACTCTGGTGAAGAAGCCCCTAATGGGGCTTGTACTGTTTTAAGCCAGAAACACAGTAGTTTACCAAAAATGCGATCCATAGAGCAGCAACATCAGCCTCACCCAGAAGCTTGGTAAAATGCAAATTCTGAAGCATTGCCAAGACCCACTGAATCAGTCAGTCGGGGAGGGGCCCAGCAATCTGTCCTCACCCAGCTCACGATGCAGGTGATTCCTTAACTTTGCTACAATCTGAGCAGCACTGCTGTAGTCATCTTGGACTTCTCCCCCTCTATCCCTTCTGTCTGTATATTTTACCTAATTCTGAAAACTGCTCCAACTCCATCTTAACTCAAAATGTTCTCACTCCATGCTTGGACTCTTGTAAAATCTCTAAACATGTTTTCTGGCTCCAATCAGTGCTGAGAACACTGTCAAATGAAATAATTTTCTAAGGCACGGCTAACATCAATGATCAAAAATCTATCATGATTTCTTCTATCACCCATTAAAGGACATAATAGCTTCTTGTTGACTCACAGAGCTGAATTATATCCTAGGGCTGCCATGACAAAGTCCCATGAACCAGGTGACTTAAAACAACAGGAATTTATTCTCTTACAGTTCTGAAAGTTAGAAGTCTGAAAGGAAGGTGTTGGCTGGGTGCCTTCCTCCTGCAGGCTCCTAAGGATAACTAGTCCAGGTCTCTCTCCTAGCTTCTGGTGACAGCAGGCAATCCTTTTGTTCCTTGCTTTGCAGATGCAGTACTCCAGGGTATGCCTCCATCTTCACATGTCATTCTGTCTGTCTCTTCATTTGGCCATCTTCTTATAAGGATACTGGTCATATTGAAGTAGGGGCCCATTCTACTCCAGCATAACCTCATCTTACCCAGCTACATCTGCAATGACCCTGTTTCCAAATATGGTCACCTTCTGAGGAATGGGGGGGTGGGGCTAAGACCTCACCATATCCTTTTGGGGGATACAATTCAACCCATAGCAATAGCCGCGCTCTATGATTCCCTAAGAGCAAACCTATGCTCTTGAATCCTCCCTAACATTCCCATATACTATGTTTCTTCCCATTCTGTCCCTTTGCCCATGACTCTCCTACTTGTGCTCCTTCCTACTCTCCTTAATCTATATCAAGATCAAACGCGGCAAAAGGCCAGGCAGTTCATCAGAATGAGTAACATAAACCAGGTGGTAAATGACAGCTGGTACTTTGCTTCAGTGTCTGGGAGACAATGATTAGTGGGGACTGGGTATCTGAAAATCTTATACTGAGTCTAAAGGAGGGAACTGCTACTCAATTCCTGCTAATTGTACCAGGCAGACACATGGGTCCTGTTTGGCCACATCTGATTTTCCAAGAGATGCTAAAAACCCAGACTTTTGAGTGAGTGGATGTGAAAGAAATTTTCTGATTTTAAAATGTTGGCCACTAGTTCAAGTAAAAACAAACAGCATGAGTCAAGAAAATTTGTCTAGAGGGACCTCCCTGATGGTCCAGTGTTAGGACTTGGCACTTCCACTGCTGTGGCTAGAGTTCAATCCCTGGTCAGAAACCAAGATCCCCACAAGCTGCAGGGTGAGGCCAGAAAAAAAAAAAGTTTCTACAGAGTAATCTGGCCCAGGGGCCAAACTTTTACTATCTCTGACTTACACAAATACCTTTCACTGTTTCAGGCTCACCTTAGTACCTTCTACTATTTCAATCCTTAAAATTCATATTCATGCATTAGATGATACTACTACAAGACAAGAGTCCCTGCCTAGGGGCCTGGAAGACTTAGACACGAAACCAGGTATTAAGTGCTTGTGAAACAGACCCTTGTTTAACTAAACAAGCTAAAAAAGATGAACAGTTTAAAGTGGGAGATGGCAATCCTGGGAGGCTTCCCAAAGAAAATGACTTTTGAAGCTATACCTAAAAAATATACAGACCTTCACAAAGAAGAGACCAGCCCAAGTCCCTCCCTCTCTGAGCTCCAACAGTACGAATATTTTAAATCAGGTATTAGAACGTGTCTGAACCATACAGTTCATTCCTGTGGTTCAGTCTAGTCTTCCCAACGGGGCTGTCCGTTACTCCTGGAGAGTAGAAACCCGATCTTGTACTTGCAGTTACATCTACAAACGCGCTTGGCACAGCACTGGACAGGGAATAAGGTCAGTTCATGCCTGGGGGTTGATTCTGGGCCTGGGAGAGATGTGGTTTGCAGAACTCATAGGAGGGAACTGGAACAGAAAGTAAAAGGAGGACGCGGCGAAGGACGGGAGCTGGAGATGGGCAGGGAGCGCCGAGACCAAAATGAAGGCCAAGGGCTTAGAAGGCCTGACCGCGCGCATCGGGCGCCTAGGTCCTGGAAGCCCCAGACTCTCCCTTTTTGGAGAAATAGAGAGGTCAGCGCCCTCCTCCGAAGATCTGCTCACCAACTCTCTTCCTGGGGCCCCCAGTTGTGCGATCGCGGCGTGGTCTCACCTCCAGGCCACCCCTAGCCTCTCGCTTGACCGGGGTCCCCTTCACGGCCACCAGTGCTCAGCCCGCATTCCTCCCTTGGGCGCGGGGCCACCACCCCGGACACCGCGCGAGCGGTGGCCGATCACTTCTGGCGTGCTCTGGGAGGCTTCCTTTCACTTTCCGGCCGCCGACCCGGCTGTGCCGGCCAATCCGCGGGCGCGCCCCCAGGCCACCTCCCACCGGCTCTGGGGTCTCCCCTGCGCAGGCTCGGTGTCGTTCGCTCGGTCTCGCGTGAGCAGAGTCCTGAGGGTCCTGCGCCGAGCAGGTTGGTGCACCTGCTGGCGCCGCGTTACACGAGCGAGGCCACCACCGAGACGCAAGTCCTCCGGGGGTCCTAGACTTGCCCACGGCCTGCCTTCGGCCTGTCGGTCTGGGTGGGCGATCTCATCAGATAACCACAGTTTTGTTCTAATTTTTTATCTTTTTCTCCCTGCGTGCCTTTGTGGTCCGATTCATTGATGCCTTCTGTTTGCATTGCCCTGTCAAAGGCTTGGCAGAAGAAAAGAAAAAAGCCTTGGCAGTACGGAGATTTAAAAAAAGGTTAGCGAAATGTTTAACAGGTAGAGCTCTGAGTGAGAAAGATAATTAGAAAATCAGGGAGAATCGTTGACTCACCACTTATGGGTGTTTGACTTTGGGCAAATTACCTAACCTCTCTGAGTCCAATTTAATGGATTACCCTCCTTTTCCTCACTGATTTTAAATACTGTCTTTATCATTAACTAAATTCACATATGTACTTGGTTATGTATTTTAAGTACTTTCTATTTGTTACCTGTTTCTATCTGCTTTGATAATAAACTGTTATAGTGAGCTTTTAACTACGTTTTAAAATCTGGTGGGCTAGTCTTCTACTCTTATTTTTTTAATAAAAGTTGTAAGCATGAATGTTTACAGCGACTGAACAGAACTTAAGTGCTAGCCATTGAGGATATAAAAGTGAACAAAAACAGGTGTTGAAAAGGGCCATGGATGTTTGTGTTTTCTTAACAAGGAGCAAATATTTTGGGGGCAGTTACTATGACTGCTGTTTTTTTTTTCTTCTGTGTGAGGTTTGAGGAATTTCTCACCATGTAAATCAGTTCAGTTCAATCTCTCAGTTGTGTCCAACTCTTTGCGACCCCATAAACTGCAGCATGCCAGGCCTCCCTGTCCATCACCAACCCCCAGAGTTTACCCAAACTCATGTCCATTGAGTCAGTGATGCCATCCAACCATCTCATCCTCTGTCATCCCCTTCTCCTCCTGCCCTCAATCTTTCCCAACATCAGGGTCTTTTCAAATGAGTCAGCTCTTCACATCAGGTGGCCAAAATATTGGCATTTCAGCTTCAACATCAGTCCTTCCAATGAACACCCAGGACTGATCTCCTTTAGGATGGTCTGGTTGGATCTCCTTGCAGTCCAAGGGACTGTCAACAGTCTTCTCCAACACCACAGTTCAAAAGCATCAATTCTTCGGTGCTCAGCTTTCTTTATAGTCCAACTCTCACATCCATACATGACTACTGGAAAAAACCATAGCCTTGACTAGATGGACCTTTGTTGACAAAGTAATGTTGCTGCTTCTTAATATGCTGTCTAGGTTAGTTATAACTTTCCTTTCAGGGAATAAGCGTCTTTTAATTTCATGGCTGCGTCACCATCTGCAGTGATTTTGGAACCCCCCAAAATTAAGTCTGTCCCTGTTTGCATTGTTTCCCCATCTATTTGCCATGAAGTGGTGGGACCGGATGCCATGATCTTCATTTTCTGAATGTTGAGTTTTAAGCCAACTTTTTCACTCTCCTGTTTCACTTTCATCAAGAGGCTTTTCAGTTCTTCTTCACTTTCTGCCATAAGGGTGGTGTCATCTGCATATCTGAGGTTATTGATATTTTTCCTGGTAATCTTGATTCCAGCTTGTGCTTCCTCCAGCCCAGCGTTTCTCATGATGTACTCTGCATATAAGTTAAATAAGCAGGCTGACAATATACAGCCTTGACGTATTCCTTTTCCTATTTGGAACCAGTCTGTTGTTCCATGTCCAGTTCTAACTGTTGCTTCCTGACCTGCATACAGGTTTCTCAAGAGGCAGGTCAGGTGGCCTGGTATTCCCATCTCTTTCAGAATTTTCCAGTTTATTGTGATCCACACAGTCAGAAACCAAGTAGAAGCAAGATAAGAGGAGAGAAAGGAAAATATCTTTAAATTAAGACAATAATCTGTTAATTTGTTTTAACCATTGATTTTGCTGTTTGGTCTCAGAAAAATGTTAACAAATTTACCTAAGTTATATTAAGAAAATCCTCTGATGTACATGCCATAATTTGTATGTAACAAAGAGTTCTACATTAATTATCTAGTTTATAAAAAGGTCTTTAAGTAAATTTTTTAGTTTTATGTTTGAATTATCGAATACTTCCAAACAAAATCTGGGCAAAATATTATTTTTTTTCCTTAACAGCAAGGGCCATTTTACCCATAACATGTGGACTTCTTAATACACCAGTAGATGGCAGTAGTCTTTAGCCATGATTGTTAACAACTCCGGCACCTTCAGCTCCGTTCAGTTCAGTCGCTCAGTTGTGTCCGACTCTGGGGCTCCATGGATTGCAGCACGCCAGGCTTCCCTGTCTATCACAAACTCCTAGAGCTTGCTCAAACTCATGACCGTCAAGTCGGTGATGCCATCCAACCATCTCATCCTCTGTCATCCCCATCTCCTCCTGCTTTCAATCTTGCCCAGCATCAGGTCTTTTCCAATGAGCTGGTTTTTTGCATCAATCAGGTAGCCAAAGTATTGGAGTTACAGCTGCAACATCAGTCCTTCCAATGAATATTCAGGACTGATTTCCTTTAGGGTTTGATCTTGCAGTCCAAGGGACTGTCAAGAGTCTTCTCCAACACCACAGTTCAAAAGCATCAGTTCTTTGGCTCAACTTTCTTCATGGTCCAACTCTCACATCCATACATGATTACTGAAAAAAACTATAACTTTGACTAGATGGGCTTTTGTAGGTAAAGTAATGTCTCTGATTTTTAATATGCTGTCTAGGTTTGTCATAGCTTTTCTTCCAAGGAGCAAGCGTCTTTTAATTTCATGGCTGTGTCAACATCTGCAGTGATTTTGGAACCCCCCAAAATAAAGTCTGTCCCTGTTTGCATTGTTTCCCCATCTATTTGCCATGAAGTGATGGGACCGGATGCCATGATCTTCATTTTCTGAATGTTGAGTTTTAAGCCAGCTTTTTTACTCTCCTCTTTCACTTTCATCAAGAGGCTCTTTAGTTCCTCTTTGCTTTCTGCCATAAGGGTGGTGTCATCTGCATATCTGAGGTTATTGATATTTCTCCTGGCAATCTTGATTCCAGCCTGTGCTTCATCCAGCCTAGCATTTTGCATGATGTGCTCTGTATATAAGTTAAATAAGCAGGGTGACAATATACAGCCTTGACCTACTCCTTTTCCTATTTGGAACCAGTCTGTTGTTCCATGTCCAGTTCTAGCTGTTGCTTCTTAACCTGCATACAGATTTCTTAGGAGGCAGGTAAGGTAGTCTGGTATTCCCATCTCTTGAAAAATTTTTCACAGTTTGTTGTGATGTACACAGTCAAAGGCTTTGGTGTAATCAATAAAGCAGAAGTAGATGTTTTTCTGGAACTCTTTCCCTTTTTCTATGATCCAGTGGATGTTGGCAATTTGATCTCTGGTTCCTCTGACTTCTAAATCCAGCTTGAACATATGGAAGTTCACGGTTCACGAACTGTTGAAGCCTGGCTTGGAGAATTTTGCACATTACTTTGCTAGCATGTGAGATGAGTGCAATTGTGTGGTAGTTTGAACATTCTTTGGCATTGCCCTTCTTTGGATTGAAATGAAAACTGACCTTTTCCAGTCCTGTGACCACTGCTGAGTTTTCCAAATTTGCTAGCATGTTGAGTGCAGCACTTTCACAGCATCACCTTTTAGGATTTGAAACAGCTCAACTGGAATTCCATCACCTCCGCTAGCTTTGTTCATCATGATGCTTCTTAAGACCCACTTGACTTTGCACTCCAGGATGTCTGGCTCTAGGTCAGTGATCACACCATCGTGGTTATCTGGGTCATGAAGATATTTTTTGTATAGATCTTCTGTGTATTCTTGCCACCTCTTTTTAATATCTTCTGCTTCTGTTAGGTCCATACCATTTCTGTCCTTTATTGTGCCCATCTTTGCATGAAATGTTTCCTTGGTATCTCTAATTTTCTTGACAAGATCTCTAGTCTTTCTCATTCTATTGTTCTCATCTATTTCTTTGCACTGATTACTGAGGATGACTTTCTTATCTCCCCTTGCTATTCTTTGAAACTCTGCATTCAAATGGGTATATCTTTCCTTTTCTCCTTTCGCTTCTCTTCTTTTCTCAGCTATTTGTAAGGCCTCCTCAGACAACCATTTTGCCTTTTTCCATTAGTTTTTCTTGGGGATGGTCTTGATCACTGCCTTCTGTACAATGTCACGAACCTCCATCCATAGTTCTTTAGGCAGTCTGTCTATCAGATCTAATCCCTTGAATCTATTTGTCACTTCCACTGTATAATCGTAAGGGATTTGATTTAGGTCATACCTGAATGGTCTAGTGGTTTTCCCTACTTTTTTCAATTTAAGCCTGAATTTTGCAATAAGGAGTTCATGGTCTGAGCCACAGTCAGCTCCCGGTTCTATATTTGATGACTGTATAGAACTTCTCCATCTTTGGCTGCAACGAGTATAATCAATCTGATTTCAGTATTGACCATCTGTTGATGTCCATGTGTAGAGTCTTCTCTTGTGTTGTTGGAAGAGGGTGTTTGCTATGACCAGTGCGTTCTCTTGGCAAAAGTCTGTTAGCCTTTGCCCTGCTTCATTCTGTACTCCAAGGCAAAATTTGCCTGTTACTCCAGGTATCTCTTGACTTGCTGCTTTTGCATTCCAGTCCCCTATGTTGAAAAGGACATCTCTTTTGGGTGTTTGTTCTAGAAGGTCTTGTAGGTCTTCATAGAACTGTTCAACTTCAGCTTCTTCAGCATTACTGGTTGGGGCATAGACTTGGATTAGTGTGATATTGAATGGTTTACCTTGGAAACAAGCAGAGATCATTCTGTAATTTTTGAGATTGCACCCAAGTACTGTATTTCGGTCTCTTGTTGACTATGAAGGTTACTCCATTTCTTCTAAGGGATTCTTGCCCTCAGTAGTAGATATAAGGGTCATCTGAGTTAAATTTGCCCATTCCAGTCCATTTTATTTCACTGGTTCCTAA